GAGCCCTGATAAAGCCACCCCTGCTCCAAATGTCCCCCCAGCAGCCAAAACACCCCCAAAGAGCCCTGATAAAGCCACCCCTGCTCCAACTGCCCCCCCAGCAGCCAAAACACCCCCAAAGAGCCCTGTCAAAGCCACCCCTGCTCCAACTGCCCCCCCAGCTGCCAAAACACCCCCAAAAAGTCCTGTTGAGGCCACCCCAGCTGTGGCCAAGGCACCTCCCAAGAGCCCTGTCAAAGCCACCCCCCAGCAGTCCCGGCACCCACCCCTCCAGCTCCAGGTGTTCCCGGTGCCCCCCCGAAGCCCCCTGCCCCCCAGAAAGCAGACACCGGCCGTCCTGGCTCTGCCCCGGCAGGAACCGCCCCCCGCCCACCCCTCTGCTCCCCCACCAAGAAGCAGCAGCCCCCTAACAAGGTGGCCAAGGCGGCCCCTTGCCCGCCCCCAGCCAAGCCCCCCTCGAAGGCCCCGCTCGGCGCTGACGACGAGGACCTGCCGCCTCTGCTCCCCCCCGAGCCGCCCGTGCTGCTGGACCTGTCCCCCCCCGCGGGGGTCCCGGCCCCCCCGGCGCCCCTCAAGAACGACAAGGGTATTTGCGGGCGCGGTTTGCCGTGTGCATGGAGTGTCACTGGCTGCCCACGGGACACTAACCCCGAGCAGGGCCCCGGGCACGGCCCCGGCGGCGCTAACGCGTGACGAGCACGGTGTGGCGTTGTGGCATTGTGGCATGGGCACTGCGGCGGAGCTGCTGCACACGGAGCCTCGGGCAGAGCTGCCACGGGGCCGTCCCCACCGCTGTCCCCGCGGTGTCCCCCTGTCTGTCCGGCAGCACCGGAGCTGTCCCCGCGCTCTGCCTGAGGTGTTGGGAACCCTGGGCACACCCTGGCACCTGCGGAGGGCTCTGCCAGGGCTCCCGTGTGCCGTGGGCACAGAGGCCCTTCCCAGAGCAGGAAACGGGACTGGATCCAGGTAATGGCTGCATGGGAGCATCCCAGCCACCTCCGAGGCCGGGGACACCCGGCTCTGCTTCGGTCACTCGCGTGGTTGGACACGGCTGTGCCACGGGTCACAGGTGGTGGTGGTGGGGGCACTGCAGCTGGTGGCCCTCTGGGCACCCAGAGGGGGCATCAGGGGAATCCCAGATGATCCCTGTAGTGAGGCCATGGACATGCAGCAGCCCCGAGGGCTCAGTGAGTGGGGGCTCGGTGCTCTTTGTCAAGGGCACCTGTCACACTGGGCTGCTGCCACCCCAGGAGTGCCACCCACACTCCTCCCGGTGCCTCAGGCTGGAAATTCCTCAGGGGGCTCGGCATCCATGGGGCTCCCACCTTGGTGAGAGGCTGGAGACAGGCTCTTGTGCCACCTTGCTGCTGGCGTTTGGGGGTGCAGGGATGGCTCCTGATGGCGTTTGGGGCACACCACTTAACTGGGCTGACTGGTGACTTCACTGGGAACCGGCAGCAAAGGCTGCCCCAAATCCGCTGCGTCCCCTGGACCTGCCTGAGGTGGGAAGAGTGAGGTGCATGTGTGTTCCTGCAGGGTCTGGGACAGAGTCCGACAGCGATGAATCCGTACCAGAGCTCGAAGAGCAAGACTCCACACAGGCCACGACACAGCAGGCACAGGTAGGGCGGGTGGCACGTGCCATCCGTGCTGGATCAGCATGCCTGTGGGTGCTCTCCTGTGTCACCTCAGGGTTGTCACGGCTCCCTGTCGCTGTCTCCCCACGCAGCTCGCGGCAGCAGCCGAAATAGATGAGGAGCCCGTCAGCAAAGCAAAACAGAGCCGGAGCGAGAAGAAAGCTCGGAAGGTGAGGTTGAGGGGCGTGGGTCTCACCTGTCCCTGGACAGCCCCAGGGCTCGAGGGCGTGCTGGGCATCTCAGCAGTCCTGGGATTGGAGCGCTCCCTCCGGCTGACACCCAGGAATGCTGCTCACTGAGGGCACATTTCCATGTGTATCCACACGGCGAGCATTGCACCGGGCTCTGGAGAGAGGAGCGGGCACATCCAGGCCTCTGGAGCTCTTCCTTCCCTTGCTGACCTTCCCCTCGTGTTTTCCAGGCAATGTCCAAACTGGGCCTTCGCCAGGTGACGGGAGTCACCAGGGTCACCATCCGGAAATCCAAGAACATCCTGTTTGTCATCACAAAACCAGACGTGTACAAGAGCCCGGCGTCAGACACTTACATTGTCTTTGGCGAGGCCAAGGTGAGCCCACCCTGGTAGCTCCTGGGGGCCAGCAGGTTCCTTGTTGTCACCTGTGCCCTGTGTGGCTCCTGCCGTGGGTCCCTGGGGCCTGTCCCAAGGGCTGGTTTCCCGGCTGGGCTGTGGGATGTGCTGGCACCACACAGGACCGGCCTCAGCTCCGCTCCTTCCCTCCTGCAGATCGAAGACCTGTCCCAGCAGGCCCAGCTGGCAGCTGCCGAAAAGTTCAAAGTGCAAGGAGAGCCCGTTTCAAACATCCAGGAAAACACACAGACCCCCACTGTGCAGGAGGAGAGCGAGGAAGAGGAGGTAGCGCCTTCCCCAGCCTGCCTGCGGGGCTGGGCGGGGCTGTTTGGGATAATCCTGGGGTTCCTTTCCTCCATCCTCGCCTTTGCCCTGGTGGCAGAGGGAGAGCAGGGTCCCTGGGGGGTCTGTGCAGCGCAGGTCTGGCCTCCCAGTTCCCATCCCTGTGGGTGGAGCAGGAGCCGCCCCGATCCAGGCAGTCCCAGCGCGTGCCAGGCCCGGAGCCGGTGCCAATGCCGGGCTCTGTGTCTCCTGCAGGTTGATGAGACGGGCGTGGAGGTGAAAGACATCGAGCTGGTGATGTCGCAGGCGAACGTGTCGCGGGCCAAGGCCGTGCGAGCCCTCAAGAACAACAGCAACGACATCGTAAACGCGATAATGGTGAGTGTTTCGGGGTGTCCTGGGGGGCTGGGGGGGCACTCCCGGCTGGCTCCTGACCCCCCTTCTCCCCGCAGGAGCTGACGATGTAGCCGCCGGAGGGAGGAGCCTTTTTTGGTGTTTCAGAGAAGACTAAAATACAGCTAAATTTAAAATTTGTACTATTTCTATCGGTTAATAAAAGTTGTGGCTTATTGTTGGTGAAACACTCGCTGCTCCGTGGTGGTGGTTTGCCGCCCTCCCTTCCCAGGGTGGAGGCTTCCTCCCGGGAAGATCCTGGCCCCGATACCCCGTCCTGACACCACCTGCCCGTCCCCTCATTTCCTTCCTGCCCCACAGGACGGCTGGACACGAGCCCGGGGCGGCGCCAGGCCAGGCTCAGTCACTGCGGGGTCCTCCCTCCTTCATCCCCTGGGGTTCCCTTCAGGGGCTTCTCCTGGTTCCCCTGCAGTGTGTGATGGATGGACTGGGGCCTGGTGGATGGGTCTGCCTTTGGTGCTGCCTCCCACAGCATCTGCCTGGAGCAGCTGCAGCCCAGGGCTGGGACACTCCTTGGGGTTAAACCCACCCGGAGAGGGGTGGGGACACATTCCATGGGGCCGGGTCAGGGTCACCTTCATCCAGGATCTTGGCAGGGGATTGGTGGCTCCTCAGTCAGTTCAGGAACGACACCGTGGGTGGGATGTGGGTGTGCTGGGAGGGCAGGGACATCATGGGTGTGCTGTGGGTGGGATGTGGGTGGGATGTGGGTGTGCTGTGGGTGGGATGTGGGTGTGCTGTGGGTGTGCTGGGGGGCAGGAGGGCTCTGCAGAGGGATTGGGACAGGCTCCACCCAAGGGCCAAGGCCAAGTGCCCAGTGCTGCCCTTGGGTCACACCGACCCCGTGGAGCGCTCCAGCCTGGGGGAAGCAGCTGGAAAGCTGGGAAGGGCCCTGGGGGTGCTGGTGACAGCGGCTGGACCTGGCCCAGGTGTGCCCAGGTGGGCAAGGAGGCCAATGGCCCCTGGGCTGTGCCAGCCACGGTGTGGGCACAGGGCAGGGACTGTCCCCCTGTGCTGGCCCTGCTGAGGCCCCTCCAGGGCTGTGCCCAGTTCTGGACCCTCGACAGGAGAGACCCCGAGGGGCTGGAGCGTGTGCAGGGCTGGGAACGGAGCTGGGAAGGGGCTGGAGAGCCGAGGGCGCTGGGGGGGCTCATCCTGCAGAGGCGGCGGCTCGGGGGGCTCTCACTGTCCCTGTCCCAGCCCCCGAGCGGCGGGAGGAGCGGGGGGGGCTCCGAACGGGGCCCAGGACGCGACATTGGGGGGTCCCGGCCCCCCCCGGGCCGCACCGCGCACGCGCGGCCAGAACCTGCTGGAAGGCGCGGCGGGAGGGGCGGGGGGGGGGAAGCGGTCGGCGCATGCGCGGCGCGGGCGCGGCGGCGCGAGGAGGCGGCGGCGGCGCGCGCGGGGATTTTGCTGCGTCACCACGGGCCGAGCGCGCGCGGGGCATTGTGGGAGCGAGGCCGCGCCGAGCCCCGAGCCCGCCGGAGCCGCCGCCGGAGCCCCGAGCCCCCGGGACCCCGCACGGACACCCTCCGAGCCACCGCCGGCACCGCCCGCAGCGCCGCCCGCAGCACCGCCCGCAGCAGCGCCCGCCGCAGCCGCCGCCTGCCGCCATGTGAGGCCCGGGGTGGGGAGCGGCGCGGGAAGGCCCCGCCAGGCCCCGCCGAGCCGCGGGCGCGGCCCCGGGCGCCGCCGCCGAGCGCGGGGCTCCGCGCCGAGCGCTGACCTTGGGGCGGCCCCGGCGGGGCGGTTTGGACCCCGGTGGGTTTCGCCCTGGTTTAACCGCGGCGGGCCCGGCCCCGGTCACCGGGCGAGGGCGGAGCGCCCGCCGTCGGTTACCGGCTCGGGCCCGGAGTGCCGCGGTGCGGGCGGGGGGTCCCGGCCCCGCTCGGGGCTGCGCGGAATGAATGGGGCGGCGGGGGGTGCCGGGGGTCGGTGCGCGTTGCCCGGTCGGGTCGGTGGCACCGGCTGAGACCGCGGAGAGCTCCCGGTAAGTGGCGCGTGGAGCCGCCCGGAGCGCGCGGACGGGCGGATCTTGTTTACAAACTTCCACTTTTCCACGTAAAACCCGAGGCCGGGCTGGACGGCGTTGGGAGCAGCTGGAAGGTGTCCCTGCCCGTGGCGGGGGTGCAACGGGAGGAGTTTTAGGGTCCCGTCCACCCGGACCGTTCCGCGATCCCCTGGAAGGCCGAGGAATAGCGCGGAAGCCCCTCAGGGGCGGGTGGAAGCGCAGGGGCCCGGCACGGAGCCCCCCCGGCGGCGGGGACAGCCCCGGTGCTGCCCGGGGGGACCGCTGGATCCGCTCCACGTGCGTCCCGCGCGGGATCCCGAATGAACCGCCCTCCCCGGGGCCCTCCCGGGGCCGCCGCGGCCACCCCGGAGCGGCGGGAGCTGCCCCTGGCACAGCTCCGGCTCGGTGTCAGCGCTCGCTCAGAACGCGCGGGGAAGACCAGCCCGGATTTTTTTGATGCGACTTTTAAGAGGGGAATGTGGCCGCGGAGGGGAAGGCTGCGCTGCCCCCGGAGATGCCGTTCCCCCACCTCCAGCGGCAGGACAAGGGGGACGGGCTTCAGAGTGCCAGAGGGCAGGGGTAGGTGGGATACCGGGAGGAAATTCCTCCCTGTGGTGAGGGTGGTGAAGCGCTGGAATGGATTTCCCAGAGGCTGCCCCTTCTCTGGAAGTGCCCAAGGCCAGGCTGGACAGGGCTGGGAGAAACCTGGGCTGGTGGAACGGGATGAGCTTTACGGTCCCTTCCAGCCCAGACCGTTCCGTGGCTCTGTGACCTCCGTGTGTCTGGCTGGAATGACTGGAGGTGGTCTGAGGACAGAGTTACCCCTCAGGGACTGGTGGCTTTTCGTCCCTCGTGTTCTGAAACCCCAGAGGATGGAGCTGCTTCATCCTAACATGACTGAAAGCGAGAGGGACGTGTTAAAGTTGGACTTTCTCGTTTAATTTCTGTAAAGTTCATCATCCTGAAACTGCAGCCTCTGCTTGGAGTCGTCTAAAATCTAAAATGAGGCTTTTTTTTTTTTTTTTTTAGTTAAAAAAGCCCCTTTCCGGGGTTTACAAGTGGAAAGAAAGCTGGTTTAGTAAAACAGGTTTTATTGCTGTCTGGGGGGTAAATTCTGTCGGGAATCCGACTCCTGCAGTGTCCTCGGGCTGTGGGAGCTGCCAGGATGCTCCCAGGAAACAAAGGCAGGGTTCCGTAGGCACAGGGTACGAGGAGCACGAGGACAGGTTTGGAAACTACAAACGGTGAGATTTGAGATTCCACTCGAGAGCTGAGAAGCTGCTGCTGTGGCAGAGGCAGGAATATCCACGGATATCCAGGGATATCCAGGCTAGAAGCACAGCCCCCACGGAGCCACCGTGGATCAGGCAGGGCCAGGAGGGCTCTGGGGTGAAGCTGAGCCTCCACCTTGCCCATCAGTGTTGACAGGAAGCTTCTGGAACCTGTTCCACGGTGCTGGAATCTCAACTGCCATCGGAATGCGGGGACTGGAAGAGCCTGAGGAGCTCGGGAAGTCCCCAAAACCCGGGTGGATGGGACAGAGGGAACCCTCTGGAATGGAACACAGCGCCCTGTTCCCTGGGAACCGCGCAGGAGGGAGCACGCTGAGGTTGCCTCCTCCTTCCCAGAGAACTCAGTCCCAGGGCTGGGGGGTAACCAGAGCCCCCTGGGCAGGAGGCAGGGACAGAGCTCTGTGTGTGCAACAGGTGACTCTGCTGCCGAGTGCTGGCGGTGTCTGTGAGGGGAGGAGATGGTTCCGTGGGGGTGTGGGAACAGCTCTGGAGCGCTGGGAGCACGTGCAGGGCTGCTGTGTGTGGTTTGTCTCCTGGGAATCTCCGTGTGGGCAGGAGACGCCAACGAGCCGCGGCTTCCGCCTCGTCCCAGCCCTGGGCGGCAGCTCCGGCGCGTCCTGCGCTGCTGGTTGGAACGGCGAGTCCTGGCTGAGGCTCACGGGGAGGTTTTCCCTCCTCCCTTTGGGAGGGCGAGATTGGAAAGGCAGATAAAAGAACGAGAGGCGGCTCCGGTGGCGAGTGCTGAATTCCCGGGGAAGCAGCGCAGGTTTAGGGCCCAGAAACGTGAACTGTGGTCGAGTCAAATGTATCTGGGGCTCTCATTCCCCTCCAGCTCGGGGGTGTGTGTGTGTTTTCCTTGAGCTGAGTGAGGTTTCTGGACGTGCTGTGAGTTCCGTGCCTCAAACCCCCGCTCTGGGCAGAGATCCCGAGGTCACGGCCGAAAGCGGGGATGTGTGCGGCTCCCTGGGAAGGCTGGAGACGTCTCCATTGACATTGAGAACTGGGAAGTGTTAACACTGCTCAGCCCCTGCGTCATCCGGGCAGGGACACTGAGATTTCTGTTGGATAACGGGGCTGGAGTGACGTCCCCGCTGTCCCACGCTGGGGGGTTTTGTCTCCCGACGCAGGGGGGACAGAGTGGGGCGTTTCTCCTCCTCTTTTCCTCTGAGAGTCTTTTCATTCCCTGTTAGAAGAGGATACTTGTGCCCAAGAAGGAATTAAAAATACCACAGTAAGAAAACTCCTGCTGTGCTGCTGCACTTCACTTGAGTAAGGTGATAATTAACATTCCCTAAAATGCAGCTGCAAGGGGAAGCGCCAGGTTTTCTCTCCTGGAACAGCATTTTGCAGAAACTCGAGGCTGAGTTCAGAATCCACTAGTTTTTGTGTTTGTGGAAGTTAAATCCTTGGATATTGGCCTCTGCCCGGGTGTTCTTGCACCTACAAGAGTGTTGGAGCTGCCAGAGGCATCGTGGTGGTTCCAGGTCCCAGCCTTTCCCTGAGCTGGCACCGGTGGATCCAGGTACCTGTGGCACTGGGGAGCTGATCAGAGCTGGTTTGGGGTTCAGCTGGGGCTGGGCTGGCCCTGCTGGGGTTCATCCTGAGGACAGTGGAAGGGGGCAGGTAGGAACGTTTGGGGAGGGTGCAGCCCTGGGTGAGTCACCTCACCCAATGTGTCACAGCTCGATGCCAGGAATCAATCAATCAATCGGTGATCAGGTGAGTCAAAATCTGACCTGAAAGTTTAGCCAAGGTCACCTTAATAAATGGTCTGAAGAGTTAATAATGGTGCTTACAGAGCAGCAGTGAGCCCACAGGGCCTCCTCAGTGGGGTGGCAGCTGCAGTCCCAGGCTGTGTCACACCGGCCTCCCTTGTGTCCCCCTGTTTACCCCCCTGTCCAGCTCAGAGCCTTCCACCTCATCCCACTGCAGGTCTTTGCAGGGCCATCAGCTGGGAAAAAATCCTCCCTGTGAGGCCCTGGAATGGATTTCCCAGAGAAGCTGTGCCTGCCCCATCCCTGGAAGGTGCCCCTGCCCAGGGCAGGGGATGAAAAGGGATGAGCTCTAAGATCCCTCCCAGCCCATTCCATGACTCTGTGATCTCAGGAAGACAGAGGAGTGCGTGGCCTCTGTGCCTTGGTAACAGCCCTGCTGGGAGGCTGTTTGGTTCCCCTGGAATGCAGGCGTTCCCTGGGCTTGGCCACAGTTGCCAGGGAATAACTGGAGGGGGGAGGAGGGTGTCCAGGCCCTGCTGGGTCTCTCCCCAGCCCATTGAGCACGGCCAGAGCGTTGCAGGGGAGTCCTCAGTGCGGAACTGCAAACACCAGGGCTGCCCTGGACACGCCGTTACTTTCTGTGGTGGTTTTGGAAAGGGAGGAGAATTCCAAAGTGCATGGGAGTTCCAGTCTGAGTATGCAGGAGGTTATAGGAAGAGGCTGGAGCAAGGATTCTCCAGCTCTCGTACCTGTGCTGACACCAGCTGGGTCTTCGTCATAGTAAGTCTATTTTTTAATAGTGTCAGTGCCCAAAAAAAGAAGATTTTCTCAGTGATTTTGCTTTGGGTTGGTTTTAACTCTTAGAGTGACAAAAAGCACCCTGAAATCTGCCCAGGCAGCTGTGGGAGGTGGTGGAGCTTCTGGCTCGTCTGTTGTAGCTCATCTTAACGTTTATCACAATTTTGATCTGCTGAAACATTTATTTCAGTCTCTCAGATTCCAGCGGCTCCTCCCAGGAGCTCTTTGGGGGTGTTGGGCACTGAATGCATCATTTCTTTTATTCACATCTTTTTTCATTCTTAAGCACCTATAAAAGATGAATAATAAGCTTGAAATGCAGGTTTTAAGCACGGGAGGGAGGTTTTCAGTTTTGAATTTATTGATGAAATGCCCAAACCTGCTGTGCCCACAGGCAGCCTGCCTCTGCAAAGTGGTACGACCGGAGGGACTACGTTTTTGTCGAGTTCTGTGTTGAAGACAGCAAAGATGTTAATGTAAATTTTGAAAAGTCCAAGCTCACGTTCAGGTGAGTAACTGAGGCGCAGGGAGGTCCCCGAGGGCTGAGGAGAAGCAGATTTGTTCTATGACACGTTCTGGGCTAAACACCAACTTACTTTTTCTCTTTGCAGTTGTCTTGGAGGAAGTGATAATTTTAAACACTTAAATGAAATCGACCTTTTTAATAATATCGATCCAAATGTGAGTATCCCGAGTCTCCTCTTGGGTGTTCTTAGTGCTGGGACCTGGTGAGACACTGGAACGGGTTGTCCAGAGGAACTGTGGATGTTCCATCCCTGGAAGTGCCCAAGGCCAGGTTGGGTGGGACTTGTACCAGCCTGGTCTAGTGAAGGTGTCCCTGCCCATGGCAGGAGGTGGAGTGGGATGATCTTTAACCCAGACCATTCTGGAGTTCTGTGATCCTAAAAAATGCCATCTGTTCTTCAGGCTGCTCTTGGGATTTGGGGGACAAATAGTTCTTTGGCCTGTAAGAATACGCTTGAACTCAGATCCGTGGAAGTGTTTTTCAGGACAGAGTATTTTATCCTGAAGTGTTTTTTCAGGATAAAGAATTAGTGGAGAGGTTAAAACAAATGAGGGATGTCAGCAGTTGGTGGTGAAGCTCATCCTGATGGCACTAATGGGTATTTGCTCTTTTTCAGGAATCGAAGCATAAAAGAACAGACAGATCCATCTTATGTTGTTTACGAAAAGGAGAGTCTGGTCAGGCATGGCCAAGGTTAACAAAAGAGAGGGCAAAGGTGGGTTTGGGCACCTGCTGCCCCCCCTGGCTTTTCATTTAGTGCATATTTGGGTCATGTTGGAATTGTGGAGCAGTTTTGGGTCACTTTTCCTGCTCCCAATCGGGTGGCAGCTCTCGTTAACCTGCCTGTTCTGACTGACAGCCCAGTCCTTCCTTGTCCTTAAAAGATTCCTTGTCCTTAAATAACTCCTTGTGTTGGTGCAGCTCAACTGGCTCAGCGTGGACTTCAACAACTGGAAAGACTGGGAAGATGATTCAGATGAAGACATGTCCAATTTCGATCGCTTTTCCGAGGTAGGGGCTGATGAATCCCTGGAGTTCGGGGTTTGCAGGGCAATTAATCCCAGTTTTTCTTGCATCCTTACCTTGTAATTCCTGGGTGGGGGCAGCTGTTCTGTCAAGGCAACGAGGGGCTGTTGGTTTAGAACCGTTCCAGGCTGGTTTTGGGAGGAGAATGGGGTTGGATTCACCCTGACTCGTGGCTGTTCTCTCCCCGAGCAGATGATGAACAACATGGGTGGAGACGACGACGTAGATTTGCCAGAAGTAGATGGGGCAGATGATGTGAGTTATGTGGTTGGAGTAAACACGGGCAGGGCTGGTTAGGAAGTCTTGTGCTCCCTCTTCAGCACTGCAGAAAGCTGAAATAGCCCCAAACCTTGTTTGGACAGGTGATGTCAGCTGGGGAGTCGCCTCCCTCCCTCTCAGCAGTGCTGAGGGCAGTGGGGGCACCGTGCAGTTCAGAGTCTGTGTCTCTCTGCAGTGACTGGGGGTTGTTGTGGGGTCTGCAGAGAGGCCAGACTGAGCTCACTGAGTCCCGTGGGACCTGGAGTTCCTCAAAATCCCTGCTCTGCCTAAAGGGGATCCAGCTTGCTGCTGGATTTGGGAGCTCATTGCTGGGGGTGGTGTTAGAGGAAAGGTGCCTTCAGGGCCGTCTGCTCCACTTAACGCTGTTTCTTTTCCTTTGCAGGACTCACCAGACAGTGATGATGAAAGTAAGTTGTTGTTTTGCCCTCTCACAGCTGCTGAACGCCCCGGCCTCGGGCAGGGCCCGCAGATGTTCCCCTGTCCATCCCACTGAGTCCTGGCAGGAGATAAAGCCAGTGCTGGGAGACAGCCTAATCTGGGAAAGCCTCTCCACACAAGCCCCAAATACCACTTTGACCTTCCCAGGCAGCTGCAGTCCCCGGGCAGCTTCGGCTGCAGGAGCAGAATGTGCTCGGGGTGGCCGGCTCTGGCACGGATCTCCCCTGGGGAGAGCCAGGAGGGAGGGCAGAGGCCCCAAACTGCTCCGTGCCCTCCTTGGGTGAGGGCCAGGTCGTCTTGCTCGTGTCCCTTGTGACATAGTGGGGCTCTGGTAGCTTTTAGAAAAAACAACCAAAAAAAAATACCCACAAACCAACCCTAAAACAATTCTCTTTTCTCTCTCTCTCTCTCTGTGTAGAAATGCCGGATCTGGAGTAAGGAAAACTGTCGTCTTCAGGGTTTTGGGGAAAGAACTTCATCACAACATTTCATAATTGAGATAAGAATTCCTGAGTTGATAGCCCTAAAGGGAGATCCTGCATCCTTTAACCCATTTTCAGTCCATTTTAAATGGCTTCACTGATGGTAGGTGTGTCCCATGGCACGGGGCGGTCTTAAGCCACGAGAGGCAATAACGTTATGCATGAACCGTTTTCCAGACTTCCAAAAACAAAAAAACAAAACGAAACCCCCCCAATTGAGGTGTAGGCAATCCGTACAGAACAGTTGCAATAAAGTTTACAGAGCCTCCTTGCCTCGTAGCAGATGTAATTGCAATGGGAGAACCCCTCAATTTACGCCAAATGGTTAACGAGCATTTTCCCCCCTCTCCTCCTCCTCCTCCATGGCCTGAAACTGTCCGTTTGTACTGGGAACAAAACTTGTTGTCATTGGCTCCCCAAATCCAGCAGGCGAGGCAACATCCCCCCTGTGGCGTCTTCAGGTCTGTTCCACTAAAGTTCGTATTGAAAAGGAAAACCTAAAACCCCTCCTAGTTTGGTGTTGGGCCCCCCCCGAGCGGCACCGGTGGCCGGAGCCTGTCCCTGGTTCCATGTGACCCCCCCAGAGCTCCCCCCTCCTCGCCCGGGGTGAGTGGCTGTACATTGTTTGCTTTGTCAATCTGTACATTTAGACCAAATCGTATTTGCACTGTGGGTTTGGCAGCGAGTGACAGACCGTGGGGCCTGCGACCGGGCTGAGAAACCTCAATTTATGTTCAGAGCAGCTGGGATTTTTTTAATGTCTGCATTCTTTCTAATAAACTGTTGAAGACTCCCCTGGCTCTCCCTTCGGCCTGGGCCTTGTGCATTCCTCACTGCGGCAGGGGCAGGGGGTGGGCTCCTCTCCTGTGGGCTGGATGGGGCAGCATTCCCTCCTGGGGTGGGTTCCTCTCCTGGGGGCCCCCGCTCTTGCTGGGAGGGCAGTTGGGGGCTGGTGCTGGGGGATCCCCCCCATGGGGGGCGGAATTTGGGGGCTGGTGCTGTGGGCTCTGATCCTTTGGGGGTGGGTTGCCTTCCCGTGTGAGGTCTGTGGAGTGGGCTTTTCCTCGGCGGGAGACAACCGGGGAAGGGGGGGCGGCCTTCGGGGCGGTGCAGTGATTCCCGGTCCGGTGCAGTGATCCCGGGGCCGGTCCGGTGCAGCGATCCCCGGTCCGGTGCAGTGATCCCCCGGTGCAGTGATCCCGGGCCCCCGGTGCAGTGATCCCGGGGCCCGGTCCGGTGCAGTGATCCCCGGCCCGGTGCAGTGATCCCCGGCCCGGTGCAGTGATCCCCCGGGTGCAGTGATCCCCGGCCCGGTGCAGCGATCCCCGGTCCGGTGGCCCCGCCGCGGTCACGGCGCCCGCCCAAGGACAAGCACAGCCACGTGCGCCGCCGCTTCCGGCGACCTTCGCCTGGGCCCCGCCCCTCCCCTCAGCCTCACCCTATCAACCCGCAGCGCGCCTTGACGGACGGCTCCAAAACGCAATCGCAGCGAGGCGCAGAGCGGGCGCCGCCTCGGCGCGGCCAATGGGAGCGCGGGCTCTACCGGCCGGCGGCCAATGGGCTCGGCGGGGGCGCGGCGAGGCCGCCCCGCAGAGGGCCGTGAGGGGCGGGCGGGCCCCGCGCCTCAGTCGGCGCCGCCATGTTGGGGCTCGCGGGTCGTTCCGCCGCCGCCGCCGCCGCCGCCGCGGCCCGGCCGCTGCTGCCCCGCGGGGCCGCCCCGGGCCGCGACCTCCTCCCGCTGCTCCTCGGCCGCGGGGCCGCCCCGGCCTCCGCCGCCCTCGGGGCGCGTGAGTGCGGGACGAGGCGGGGTCACCTTGGGGCCTGAGCGGGCCGGGGGTGTGTGGGGTGTGGGGGGCGCGGGGGCTCGGGGTCCCCGTTGGCGGGGACGGGGTGGGGTGTGTCGTGCGGTCATGGGAGAGCAGCTGCGGGAGTTCAGGGAATCGTGGGTGCATCGAGGGAGGGGCTCCTGGGCGCAGGGGTCCAGCGTGCACTGAGGAGGGGTCGGGGGGTCCCGAGTGCGTCAGAGGACGGGTTTCTGGGGGTCCCGGGTGCACCGAGGAGGGAACAGGGGTCCTGGGTGCACCGAGGGGCTTTCAGAGGGTCCTGGTTTTACGGAGGGGGTCCAGGGGTCCCGGGCACACCCCGGGCCCGCGGGGGTGTCCCTTCCCCGCGCCCCCAGAGCCCCCGGCCCTGCCCTTCTCCGACCTTGACCCGTCCCTCTCCCCCCCAGGCCGGGACTATGCGGCCCAGGCGGCCCCCGCTGCCAAGGCGGGCTCCACCACCGGCCGCATCGTGGCCGTCATCGGAGCCGTGGTGGACGTGCAGTTCGACGAGGGGCTGCCCCCCATCCTGAACGCCCTGGAGGTGCAGGGCAGGGAGACCCGGCTGGTGCTGGAGGTGGCTCAGCACCTGGGTGAGCGCTTGGCACGAGGGAGGGAGGGGACTGGTTTGGGGGGGGTCCTCCTATGATGATGTTTCCAATGACTTTCGTTCTCCTGAGCTTGCTGAAGCCACGGATTTCAATCTGAGGAGGAGGAGGAAAATGGCTGCCCTCAAGGGCTGTGGCTGCAGGGCTGCAGCTGGAGCGCAGCCTGGTCTCTCGTTTTCCTCTGGGCTATTTTATTCCTGTGTCCTGCTGCTCTTCCTGGTTCTTCTCCCAGCTTAATGTGCCCTTGGCAGGGCCGGGAAGCCACCGGCAGCTGTGCCCGGGGTTGGCCCGAGGGCGCTGCGGTGACTGCGCTGTCCTTGCCCAGGGGAGAACACGGTGCGCACCATCGCCATGGACGGCACGGAGGGGCTGGTCAGGGGGCAGAAGGTGCTGGACTCAGGTGCTCCCATTCGCATCCCCGTGGGCCCTGAGACCCTGGGCAGGATCATGAACGTCATCGGGGAGCCCATCGACGAGAGGGGCCCCATCACAACCAAACAGTGAGTGATGTGGACACACGGGTGTGAGCAGGGTCTCACCAGGATCTCCTGCTCTCCCAGGGGCTCGGAGCAGCTGCTCAGCCTCTTCCTCTCCCGCTCCAGGTTTGCTGCTATTCACGCCGAGGCCCCCGAGTTCGTGGAGATGAGCGTCGAGCAGGAGATCCTGGTGACGGGGATCAAGGTTGTGGATCTGCTGGCTCCCTACGCCAAGGGCGGCAAGATTGGTACGTGACCCTCAGAGTGGGAGGGGGCACCTGCCAGCCCCCTTAAAGGTCCTGACAGTCCCCCTGGGGCACTTTCCTTCGCTGATGATTCACTCCTTGACTTTCGTTCTCCTGAACTTGCTGAAGCAACGCTGTTTGCCATCTGAGGAGGAAAGGGCTGAAGAGAGACCCGTGGAGCAGCCGGGCCAGCTCCAGGGCTGAGCAGGACCCCTGTTTCCCTCTCCCAGGTTTGTTTGGAGGTGCTGGTGTCGGCAAGACTGTGCTGATCATGGAGCTGATCAACAACGTGGCCAAGGCCCACGGTGGTTACTCGGTGTTCGCCGGCGTGGGCGAGAGAACCCGCGAGGGCAACGACTTGTACCATGAGATGATCGAGTCTGGGGTCATCAACCTGAAAGATGCCACTTCCAAGGTGGGCAGGGTCCCCTGGGGGGTACTGGATCCCTTGGGGAGGCGGTGGTGGGATGCAGGGGTTGCCAGGGGGACGCTGTGCTGACCCAGGGGGTCCCACCCGCAGGTCGCCCTGGTCTACGGGCAGATGAACGAGCCCCCCGGTGCCCGCGCCAGGGTGGCCCTGACAGGACTGACGGTGGCCGAGTACTTCAGGGACCAGGAGGGTCAGGACGTGCTGCTCTTCATCGACAACATCTTCCGCTTCACCCAGGCTGGCTCCGAGGTCTGTGCTGGGCGCGGGGGGTGCCCCTGCCCCAGACTGGCACAGCCCCTCACTCTCTGTCCCTGCCCAGGTGTCGGCCCTGCTGGGCAGAATCCCCTCGGCCGTGGGCTACCAGCCCACGCTGGCCACCGACATGGGCACCATGCAGGAGCGGATCACCACCACGCGCAAGGGCTCCATCACCTCGGTGCAGGTGAGGGCAGGGCCGGCCAGGGGTCCCTGGGAGACCACGGCACTCGCCTGGGGCCCACCGTCCCCTCCCTTCTCCCCAGGCCATCTACGTGCCCGCCGATGACCTGACTGACCCTGCCCCCGCCACCACCTTCGCCCACTTGGATGCCACCACGGTGCTGTCCCGTGCCATCGCCGAGCTGGGCATCTACCCGGCCGTGGACCCCCTGGACTCCACCTCCCGCATCATGGACCCCAACATCGTGGGCCCTGAGCACTACGACGTGGCCCGGGGCGTGCAGAAGATCCTGCAGGTGAGGGGGGACCAGGCAGACCCCTGGGGGTGGTGGGGGTCAGTGCTGGCTGCTCACCCCCTGTGCGTCCCCCCAGGACTACAAGTCTCTGCAGGACATCATTGCCATCCTGGGCATGGACGAGCTGTCCGAGGAGGACAAGCTGACAGTGGCCCGTGCCCGCAAGATCCAGCGGTTCCTGTCCCAGCCCTTCCAGGTGGCCGAGGTCTTCACCGGCCACATGGGCAAGTTGGTGCCGCTGAAGGAGACCATCAAGGGCTTCAAGCAGATCCTGGCAGGTGAGGTGGCCCCCCGGGGACTAGGGGAGCCTGGTTGGGCCCCCCCGCTGCCCCCTGACACGGTGTCTCCCCCCAGGTGAATATGACCACCTGCCCGAGCAAGCCTTCTACATGGTGGGCCCCATCGAGGAGGCCGTGGCCAAGGCGGAGAAGCTGGCAGAGGAGCATGCCTGAGCCCCTCCGATCCCCTGCCCCCCGGCTCCGCTGGGGCCGGACCCCCAGTATTTAACATTTCCAATAAAACATCGGCGAAAACACTCCCAGGCTCTGTGTGCTGTGGCTGCTGCTGCGAGGAGGAATCAGGGTCCTGGGAGCCCCCCGTGCGCAGGAAGGCAGGGCTGGGGTTCCCTGAGGCCCCCAACCCTGTTTTGGGCTCTGGGCTGAGCTGCTCCTGCAGCGTCAGAACCCCCGGCCTCGGGGTTCCCGAGGAGGGGGAAGAGCCCCCCCTTACCCTGTGGGGTTCCCAGGAGGGGGGTCTGCTTCTCCTGTGGGGACCTCAGCACTGTCCCTGGCAGGGACAGCCCAGGAGGTGACAGATGGTGGTCCCGTGCCTGTGCCTAGCCCGGTGTCCATCTGTCTGTCCCTGTCCCCATCGTTCCTTCCCCCACCAGCACCACCCCGCCCCGTTCCAGCTCCTCCATTTCACGGCACAAAGAGCCGCCCCGGACCCGGCAGCTGCCGCTTTGTCCGCGGGGTCTCGGGGGGCCGCGCCGGCCCGGCCCTCCCGGTGCGGGCCTGCGGGACACCCACGCCGGGGGCACCGGGCCCGCCCCCGGCCCCCAGCTCCATCGCTGACCCGCCGGTGACGGGCTGGGCTCAGCCCCACGGAGGATCGGGGGTCGCGGGGGTGTCCCCGCAGGGCTGCACGCGGGGGTCCCGGGCGCGGTCTCGAGGCAGGGGTGCCCCCCCGCTGCCCCCCACCCCGCCACGGAGGGCCGCGGTCCCTTTAAATGGCGGCGCGTCCCCGGTGGCGGAGGGGGCGGCGGCGGCCGCTGACATCACGCGGGGCCGGGAGCACCTGCGCCCCGCCCGGCTCCGCCACCGGCACCGCAGCGCACCGGGCCGGGCGGGCACCGGGGCTGGAGCGGCCGCCCCCGCCCCCACAGGTACGCACCGCGCGGAACGGGCCCCGGGGACCGGGATACCGCCACCCACCGGGACCCCCACGGAGCTGAGATGGCTCTACAGGGACCCCCGGATCT